CGCGGGCGTCGGAGAGACCGACGGCGCGGGCGTCGGGCTGGTCGTGGGGGCGGCCGTCGGGCTGGTCGTGGGAGCCGAGGTCGGCGCGCCCGTGGGGGCGGCCGTCGGGCTGGTCGTGGGAGCCGAGGTCGGCGCGCCCGTGGGGGCGGCCGTCGGGCTGGTCGTGGGGGCGGCCGTCGGGCTGGTCGTGGGAGCCGAGGTCGGCGCGCCCGTGGGGGCGGCCGTCGGGCTGGTCGTGGGAGCCGAGGTCGGCGCGCCCGTGGGGGCGGCCGTCGGGCTGGTCGTGGGAGCCGAGGTCGGCAGGCCCGTGGGCGCGGCCGACGGGCTGGTCGTGGGAGCCGAGGTCGGCAGGCCCGTGGGCGCGGCCGACGGGTCGGCCGTGGGCAGGTCCGTGGGCAGGTCCGTGGGCAGGCCCGTGGGCAGGCCCGTGGGCAGGCCCGTGGGCGCGGCCGTCGGGTCCGCCGTCGGGTCGCCCGTCGGCGCGGCCGACGGGTCGGCCGTCGGCACGGCCGTGGGCCCGGCCGACGGGTCGGCTGTGGGCCTGGCCGTGGGCAGGTCCGTGGGCAGGTCCGTGGGCAGGTCCGTGGGCAGGTCCGTGGGCAGGTCTGTGGGGACGGGCAAGACGAGGGCCGTGGGCTTGGCCGTGGGCAGATCCGTGGGCAGGTCCGTGGGCAGGTCCGTGGGCTTGGCCGTGGGCTCGGCCGTGAGCTCCATCTCGAAGGAGGCGTCGCCGTCGGTGACGGCTCCGGCGTCGGCGACGGAGCGCTTCTTCCGGCACTGCTTGTCCTTCCACTCGCAGCCCTTCTTGCTGGTCCTGCGCGACGGCTTGCAGTCCCGCTTCGCGTCGATCTCCTTGCACTTGACCTTGCGGCACTTCGTCTTCTTGTAGCTCCACTTGCAGAAGTTGTGGTACTTGGACTTGTGGCACTTCTTCTTGGAGGCGAGCGACGCGCACGCCTTGCGCTTGCCCTTGCACTTCTTCTTGTGGTGGATCCAGGAGCACGTGTCCTTGTTCGCGGCGTTCTTGCACTCCTTGCGCTTCTTGATGGCGGCGCAGAACTTCCGCGCCGCGAGGTTGCGGTGGTACTTGGACGACTTGCGGCCGAGCTTGGAGTGCTCGCCCGCGACGATGCCGTCGCGCTTGGAGTGCTCGCCCGCGACGATGCCGTCGAGCTTGGAGTGCTCGCCCGCGACGATGCGGTCGAGCGTGGAGGACTCGCGCTCGAGCTTGGACAGCTCGGTCGCGAAGAAAGCGTGAACAACCGACGAGACCATCGGCGGCAGGTCCTTG